ACTACCACATCGAGTATAAACCTGGGCCTGCCAACAAAGTAGYTGATGCCTTATCACGGGTAGAAGAGCTGACCCAACAGAGTTGCTCCAACCCGAGGCCCTACATGATGCAAATCTGGCTCAGATAAGGTTCAAATGGGCCCAGAACCCAACATCTACTCCTGGTTATTAAGTTTGTGACTCTACACTCTACTATAAAGGTCGATTTGTCATTCTGACCACTTCAGCCCATTTAGCTGAATTACTACAGTTTTTTCACAATTCAGCCACGGGAGGCCACTCAGGCATCTTCAAAACATATAAGCGATTAGCAGCCCATTATTATTGAGTTGGAGAACAAGACAATAAGGGACTATGTCACTTCTTGTGATGTTTATCAACGATAGAAATATGAAGCCCAGAAACCCAGTAGGCTTCTTACAACCCTTGCACATCCCAAACCAAGTATGGGATTAGATCTCAATGGACTTCATCGTGGGATTACCAATCTCAAAGGGAAAATCAATTCTTCTTGTTGTAGAGGACTGCCTATCAAAGTACAGTCATTTTATACCTCTAGCACACTCCTACACAGCTGCCATGGTGGCAGAAGCATTTGTTAGAGAGTTACGAGGTTACAGGGAAAATTCAGTGCGGTTGGATTCGAAGGGATTTTCTCTTCGAGTCCACTAAAATTTTGACACATCATTTCATGCTTAACTGGCCATTACTTACAACCGGTTGGAACTTAAATAAAAATTGATAAAAGATATAATAAAAAAAAAATCTACATTCTGCAACTTGTGAAAAAGACTTGTAGAGCAGTCTCTGCAAAGCCCTGTGACTCAAACCTTCTCCCCCCAACCAATAACAACAATAAGCCTTATCAATGGTGTTCAAACTGCAACAAAACGACAACTGTAGATTTTAGCGACGACAAAAATGGTATTAACGGAAAGTTTCAAACATCAAAGTGTTCAAAGGTGAATGAAACCCCAAAATACAGAAGGCAGAAACTGAGAACAAAAAAGCTAATGAACCCACTGATTTGTGTCCAAGAATCCTTTGTAAGAGTGAAGATCCTAACTCTTAACTCATTTTTGCAAAGTTGTCAACACCGACCAAGTTAATGAACTCACTGATTTCTGTCCAAAAATCCCTAATACCACTTTTTCGTATTAAAATCTGAAACCCAAGAATCCTTTGAAAATAGAAATTTTTGAGAGCCTATCGTGAAAGAAAACCCTGTGCGTGACAGCGTGACTGTTTGAATATATTTTTCTTGAAAAGATATCTTTGGAGAATTGGAGCTATTGATTTTACTTTCAGAAGCTTAAGTATGGAGGAAGAAGAAGACCTCTCATATCTTGCAAATCCAAAGCCAAAACAGGGTTTGTCTTCCCATTAATGGTTGGAGGAGCAAGGCTTGAGTTGCATTTGGATTGAGAATGTAAGGATTTGTCTTGCAAATCCAAAGCCACAACCGTGAGGAAGGTTTTGTCTTCCCATTAATGGTTGGGGGAAAAGGGTTCGAGTATGAGAACATGAGGGTTTCGAACTTTCTGTCAATATTTAGTTAGATTTCTTTACAAAAATTTTATATTTATCAATTTTTATTTAAAAATATTTTTATCAATCATAACCTGCAGTAAAACTTCAGCCGGTCGCCGGTGCTGACCAGTCTAGCACCGAAAGACGTGTCAAAATTTTAGTGGACTCGAAGAGAAAATCCCTTTGAGTCCAAACACACTGAATCCGAACTGACCAAGACCCATCTTTACTTAGCAACTTTTGGAGAGAATACTTCAAGCTGCAGGGTACCATGCACAACACCTCTACCAGCTATCATCCTCAGTCTGATGGGCAAACTGAGGTTGTAAACAGATGCATCGAGACCTATTTACGTTGTTTTGTGGGGGGCAAACCTAAACAATGGGTACAATGGCTGCCTTGGGCAGAGTTCTGGTACAACTCATCATTCATGGCAGAGATCCACCATCTATTCTTCCTTACAAGGGCTCTTCAGCCAATGTGACGGTTGATGAGTGCCTCTCCTCACATGATGAAATTCTCCATGACCGTAAGGCACACTTTTCTTTTAGAAAAGGTAACAAAATTTTATTGGATTAAATAAAGAGTACATGAGGAGATGTACAACATAAAAGGGGAAACCCCTGGGGATTACACTGGAATCAAGTTGTCACTATACATACATCCATGTGTGCTCCTAACTTAGCTAAACCATCCACAATAGGGTAGTTCCCTCGGAATCCAAATCTGATTAGCATTCGGCAGATCCAGAGATTCTCTAGCTTCTGTCAAAAAATGACTTAATCTCCACGGACCTCCTTTTTCTCTTAACCATTTGATAGTATTTGCCGAATCTCCTGCTATGGTTAAGTTTTGAATGCCCAGGTTTCTAACTATTCTGATTCCCGTGAGAGCTGCCAACACTTCCACCTTGGTAGAATCAGCGACACCTATTGGACCACTAAAAGTCCACACAATAACACCCCTTTCATCTCTTACTATGCCTCCTATACCAGCTACTCCTTGGTTGCCTGACGCACTCCCATCAAAGTTTAGAATTGTCCCTCCCTCCCCTCTTATTTACTAACACACAGAGAACAGCAGGGAGGGGGGGGGAATCGACTGGGAGAAGAGAAACTGTGCACTTCTGTTGAGATCATTTACTGAGAATCCTTTAAACATATCAGAATTAATGGCCCAAAGATTACAGTGTAGGGTAATTTGGGAGACTACTGGGAGAAGAGAAACTGTGCACTTCTGTTGAGATCATTTACTGAGAATCCTTTAAACATATCAGAATTAATGGCCCAAAGATTACAGTGTAGGGTAATTTGGGAGACTAACTCCTCATAAGATCAAACTTGGCACATGCTCAAGACCAGATGAAGCACTATCATGATGCAAGACATGGGCCTGCTAATGAATCAGTTTCAAAGGCAGTTGAAGATAACTAAACAAGTTGACAAGTTGTAATTCTGTTGTCAAGTCAGTTATGATAGGAGCTAGGCCAGTAATAAGATAGCATTGTACCTACAATAAAGTGTGAATGAAGTTTTTCTCATTTTCTTTCTCTTGTCTTCTTCTATAAATTCAGGAGGACATCCTCCCTTGAAGAGGATCTGAGTTTGCTATAAGTCTTCATTAAGCAATGCTATCACAACATCAATTAATCATCAAATAGCAAGTTGAGGGCCAGACCAACTGTGTCATTAATGAGTTGGTTGATAATCATTGTGCAATTGCTGGGATTACTAAGCATCAACTAGGTTAACTAGTGAAATAATGACTAGTCAACCACAAAGTTATTTCAAAGCTTTATTTGTTTGTGTTTATCTCTGATCACTTATATCATGATAATAGTGTATGCTAAACATAGAGATATTAATCATATAGAATATGATTGCCAGCACTTCCATTTAGTTACCAAAAGATACTGAGGAATAGAATGGAAATCTATAATTTGGCAACAATTATTTTGTATATTTAATATAAGTTCATTCAACTTAGTAGTAATTAGCAGCATGCATTTGCTTTTTCTCCAAAAGCAATGGGATATGACACTATCTTCTAATGAATTTTAAACCATAAATAAGGTTTCATCATAAACAATGTTGCATGCACGGGAGAACAAAAATCAGAACCACACGTGGATCTGAGAGTTTGACTAAGCAAGATGAAAAAAGATGGATTCATGAATATCTCCATAAAAAAAATATATATATAATTAACACAGCCCCCTTTTTTTTGAATTCTAGCATTATATACTTATAGAAAAAGGTTTGAAGTTACATAGAATATATGTAGTGTTGGACTCCAATACACACACTTCATCCATTCAGGAGATTCCATGAAAGACTAATTATAAACCAAATGCTAGCAAAGTGCAATTCCAAGTCCATATTAGTCACCTACTAGAATAATGAAACAAAGAAATACCAATATGACACCAACAATGTTAGAAGGAAACTTCCAATTATTTGAAAGATATTACATGATTAAGGGATCTTAAAATGAAAAGGTAATTTCTTATGCAGAGGTGGAACTTACATTCTGGCTTCTTCTGATGATAGTTTCAAGCCAATTATGTCCTTAACCAATTTGTTTGCTTCTTTTACATCCTGAGAAGAAAGCATGGAATTGGCAGAACCTGAAATGATAAATTGGTTACATTTAGATTTAGGGATGAAGTCAAGATGGTAAAGTTCCAGCTCCAATGCTGCTACGAAATATATAAGAAAAAGTTCATAGAAGTTGCTTCTAAAAGTTGACAGACTCATATCTATTTGTTGTTGTTTTACTGTTAATTATTTGTTCTTTCCTTTACTTATAGGTGATGGGGGCACTTTAGTCATAGCAACTTGTTTTTAATGACTCGTATAAATAACAATTAATGGGGGCGGCAGAACCATTACATTCTGCTCTCCTTTTTCTTCTATTTTTTCTTCTTCTCCTCCTTCTCTTCCTCTGTTTTTTCTTCTCTTCTTCTTTCTAGTTTCTTGGCTGATCTCACACTAAACCTAGTTCTGTTAACAGCTGTTATTCCAAGTATACAATAATAAAAGTACAATGTAAGCATTTAAACCCCCCCCCCCCCGGGCGCCAACTGCCAAGTGTGACCAAAGAAAAATAAAAGGTTTCTAGGTATGAAGCTAAAGCATTTTCAAATTTCAATTTGAATCTAAGAGCAAACAAGAAAAAGAAGAGAAAATCTCACCAGGCATGAGAGCATTTTCTGAAATATAGGTATTTTTAGCAAAAAGAGGCAACAGAATAAGAGCCACAATCCCTGCAGCAAAGCAAAGCAAACTGTTTCCAACCCGCAAACATAAATCAGTATCACAACCACAGGCAGCTAACTAGTATTACTACACCTACAAACTTTTTATGTATATCTAGCTGATTTCAGAGAGAGAGAGAGAGAGAGAGAGAGAATAGAGAGAATACCTAACAACAATGCTGTGAGAGATGAGGAATATCCCGATACGAACAATGGGACGAGGCTTGATTTTTGGATTTTTAGTGTCACCGCTGCTGCCAGCCATCATCCTGGGTTTCATCTGCTCTTCCTTCAAAACTACACCTGCTTTGAACCCTGAAAGTCTGACACTGAGCCCAGATTTTGGATCCTCCGTTTGGGGCACTACAGCGACCACCCTGCTTCTACCAATAAATTTTAGCCAAGTTAGAAGCTCCATTTGTAATGCACGTGACCAGCTGAACACTTATAATTCAGCTTATTGAAAGAAATAGACAAAATAAAATTCATAGTGATAGTCCAGGGTGGCAAATGGATGGGTTGCAACCTGACCAAACCCCTAACAGAAAATTCATACAAAACAGAGTTGCCTTAAAATTTTCTGAAACTAATCCTCTAAACTATTGTACGTTTCCAATATCACTTATGAGGAAAGGAGAATTAATCTGGGACTGGAAATTGAGAATGGGTTCAATGTACTCAGCCAAATCCTATCGATAAAGCCCAAAAGAAATGGGGAAGGAGTTAATCCAAAGGAAACAAGTGTACTGTAGATGGACTGCATTTCCGGAAGGACGTTTTGCTTCATTTTCAACAGTAATGCAGGTTATCTTGGCTTGGACTTTGTTGGTATCAGTTATGTTTAGAAGATGTTCATTTCCAACCCCTACTATGAACTCAAGATTTGAATCAGAGAATGCGCGGAGGGCATTTGGATCGGCATCATAAAGTTTGACTCTGTTGATGTTAAGGGACTCAAGGAGGATGGAAGCCCGTGAAGTTGATTAAGAGATTGTCAGTAATTTGGATGTAGTTAATTCTGATCGCAAGAACGAGGGTTGAACGACTGGAACTGTTAAAATATAACCGCAAGGCCGGGGGCTTGGGAACTAAATTACAATTTTCTGCTGTTTATGAAAAAAAGAAATGAAACTATATCAAATTTCATTAAGAAAACAAATTAAAAAAATGCAATTCAATGAGGAAGAATGGCAGTATTTGATAAAAGATACGATGAATGATGAACTGAGAAATTCAGAATAACTGTAAATTAAACTGAGAAATTCAGAACATCTGTAAATTAAACTGAGTAATTCAGAAACAACTAATAAAGCATTCATACTTTCAAAGCCCCAGTCTAAAAACGCCCGAAACTCCCTTGTCTTCTCTGCAAACAGCGGAACTGGAGACGAGCGGAGGTGGTAGAGGACTAAGGAGAGAGTTGCAGTCTTGCAGAGTAAACAAAAAAGGGTGATTTACTTAGAAACCCCTGTAGACCATGTATTTACTAAAACTACCCAGGCGTATTGACTATTGAGTAACACCCTTAGTTTCCAAATTCTAAGATCTGTTATCGGCCGTGCTTGGGTTACCTTTTGCCAAAATTCGAAAGGCCCAGCCCGAAGCCCGCCCATCATGAACTGAAGACGCTATTTACTACGATTTTTTAAATAGAAGTAAGAAATTACATTTTTTAAACCTAACGCTTGTTTTATCAAATTAATCAAAAAAATGAATTCGACTATGATACTAAAAAGGCATTGATGAAGGAAGATTTGGCCCAAACTCGTAATCGCTCGTGGTAAAGGCAAATAGCTCGACAAAACAGTGCGCCCAGGGCGCGAGCCTGAGCTCCCTACAAGGAGCCTGAGCTCGACAAAACAGTGCGCCCAGCAGTCCGAACTCCCTACAAGGAGCCTGAGCTCTCCCTGAGGCCCCGAGCCTCACACAAGGCAATGACCCGAACTGGCCCGCCTCACGACAGTTCGGGACACTCCCCTATCCGAACTCAATACTTCATCTCGTTCACCACTCCAGCACTTCGCCTCTAGGACGGTAGACTGAACAAACGTACCATACCTGACACCGAGGATGTTCGTATCCAAGGGCGGCGCACCCGACTGACCTGGGATCTGACGCTTGACAACCGCACTTCAACGGCCACCTGCCGCCGCCACCAGCCACCGTCGTCACCAGCCGCAGAGACGGCTTCGACAAAGAGAGCAGTGGCGGTTTCGCCCAGCCAGAGGGGATGACATCCGAACTGGCAGGAGCTCAGAAATAATCATACCCGATCTGACAGAAGCTTAGAAGTGAGTGCGCGAGGTGGTTATAAAAGGCTCCCTACCCCCAAAAACAAGGTATGTGAACTTTGCGTCATCTGGTTTTATCTTGCCTTTGAGAGAATTCTAACTTGAGCTTCGGAGCATTCATACCGGGTTCCCCCCGGAGTTTCCTCATCTTCTCCGTTTTCAGGCTCCCTGTAGCTCCGTTCAGAGGCAAGGTCGTTGATAGCTAGGACCAGCCGGATTGCGCACCATCAATTGGCGCCGTTTGTGGGAAACGCTTCTAAAAGCCTCCCTCTAAAACTCTCATAACCTCTTTTCTCCAAAAACCCCAACACTCATGGCTTCTTCCAGCAACGTCGGACGTAGCACGGAGACAAACACCACCGGGGAACAACTTCAAGTCCCCGTGGTGTGCGTCGGACAGTTCACCATCCCCCTTCCGGTGGATGGGATCCCCAGCTTGAATGCGCCACAAGCAGTGGCACCCGTAAACCTTTCTGCCATGAGCATCCCCTTT